TTGTGTGTGTGGCACGCGCGAGGAAGAGCGTGAGGAAGAGCTAAAGGAAAGCTGGAGCCCCTCCTCTGCTGCCCCCCAGCAGGCGCGCATGTGTCCGGCACATGCAACACCCCCTCTGTGGAGCCACGTCAAGCTCCAGCCCCCATATGCGGCTGCACAGCAGCAGCTGCCGGCCCCCGGCCCCCCGGCCCCCGCCTCGTCGCACCCGACAGTATCTGCTGCAGTGCGTAGCTCCCCGCGTCCTTTGATAGCGGGCACCAGTCGCGCCGCACAATGTCCAGCCCCTTTGCCTCCATCACCTCAGTCACGCCCCCACCAGGCGTCGGCTCCAGCTGCGGTTTTAGATCGTTCAACATTGCACGATTAATTGCGCAACGCATCAACTGACGGATTGGGTTCATAATATCAGCAGAAATTCTTAGGTTCTAGAGCCAGCCTTGATGCCACCATGCTGCTGGTGCAGGCAGCGATTCATCTCAGGAGGAGGGATTGGCAAAGTTCACGGCGTGAAGTTCCCGCCGCACCTTGATGGCCGCGTACTTCTTCTTCTTGAGCAGCAGCAGGGTCCTGAAGATTGCGTCGAGCTCAATCTCCAGCAGACGGTACCGCTTGTTGACCTGGGTCGCGGATTGGGGGGGGGGGGGCCAAGTCATGTGGGTTGGTGTTGAATGCCAACATCATGCTTTCTGTGAAGTGGTGCATGGACGGGAACAATTGCCGCGTTGGTCGCGATGTGGAGGCTTGAGCAGGAAGCGCGTCTGGTCATGAGGTTGTTGAGGCAGGTTCTCAAGGTTTGTTTTCTACTTGAGGGGGAGCAGGTGGCGGGTATTCATGAATGCTGTTGTGGAGTCCGTCCACACGTCTGCACTTGCGGGTGGTAACTGCATCTGCACATGCGCTCGTCACCGTCACAGTCAGTCTTCTGCTCTCCCGCCCCTTCACCCGCCCCGACACCCACCTCGCGCTTGATGGCGGCCCCAGAGGCGCGCGCCGCCGCCAGGTCGTCCGTCCCCGTGTGGACGAACATCGAGTCCGTGTCGCCGTACACCACCTGCAAAACAGGCCAGGGGGCCGGGGTTTCGGGAGGGACACGCTGGCGCCTTTTACATCGTTCACGCTTCAGATTCAAGAGAGAAAGCCAGGGTGCAGTGCCCGGAGCGTCCCGATTCGTCGCTGCGGCGCGGCGGCCGCGTCGATGCGGGTGCTAGCCCGCATGCCTTGAGCCGCGGTGTTTCCCACCCTGCATGCCGACTCCATGGGTACCGGCTGTATATCTTATCAGAAACACGCGCGGCCCCCCATGTGGCCATCCCACCTCGAGGCCGTTCCCCATGTTGGCCACTGTGTCCACCGTGGTCTGCAGGATCTCGCGGCCCTGGGAGTTGGGTTTGACCGGGGTTTGACCAAGGGTTGACCAAGGGTTTGACCAGCAGGTCGGCCGCGAGAAAAAAGACTAGCGAAATGCTGATCTATGTGTGAGCGCCTTTGCGCCGTTTGCGCTGTATGCGTTGCTCCAGTGCATGTTGACGCACCCGCAAACCCGCAGAATCAAAGCCCAACTTCACAGGAAGACATCAATCGCCGGTTTTGTGCTAAGTTTCAGCGCCCACCTGGCTGGTGATGAGCTCCGCGAGGGGCCGCGCGTAGAACCTGCTGTTGGTGAACCCCAGGCAGCCATACATGCTGTTGGCCGTCAGCTTCAGGGCCTGTGACGGGTAGGGTTTAGGGTTCCGGGTTTGTTTGGGTGTTTGTGGTCAAGGGGGGATGGGGGGTGTGGAAAAGGGATTCTGGGCGGCGGGTTTGTCGCAGGGGTTCTAGGGCTGTGCCCGAGCTCGTGAAGGGGAGTGCATCAAGGGGGAGTAGGTTGACAATAGCCAGTGCTGACCCGAGCGACGGTTGGGTGGGCGCGGAGCTACGCCCCCCACCCCCACACCTGCTGCTGGATGTTGAGGCGTTGGTAGTCGCCCGGCCCCTTGGCCGCCTTCATCTGGGCCTTGACCTGTGTGTGAGAGTGTGTGTGTGTGTGTGTGTGTGTGTGCGCGGGCGCGTGTGTGTTGTTGTGCGTGTGTTCACGTGCGCGTGTGTGCCGGGCAGCTGCCCACTGCCTCCCAATCATCCCCACTCACTGCCCCCACCTGCCCCGCCCCACCTTGCGCCTC